ATCGCCTGATGAAGGTTAATATTCAGGAGGATGCCTATGTGTTTTTCTTTGGGTTCACCTTCTTATTTAGCTTCTCTAGGATCGCGAATTATAGGCTCAATGTCCTTTATTTATGGCTAGAAACCAAATATGAGTGAGTACATCCCATGTTCCTCTTTTTGGGTCTGGCTTACCTCACTCAGGATAGTGTTTTCTATTTCCATCCATTTGTATGCAAAATTCAAGAGGTCCTTGTTTTTTTTTTTCTGCTGAGTAGTACTCTAATATGTATATATTCTATACTTTCTTCATCCATTCTTCCATTGAAGGGCATCTAGGTTGTTTCCAGGTTCTGGCTGTTATGTTTAGTTACCAGGTTATGGCACTACTTGAAAGGACTTGAAGGATTAAGAGGTGTGGCCTTGTAGGAGGAAGTGTGTCACTGGGAGTGGGCTATGAGGCTTCAAAAGTCCATGTCAGCCCAGAGTCTCTCTCTGACTGTGCATCAGGATGCAGTCCTCAGCTTCTGCTCCAGCACCTGCCTTCATGTTGCCATAATTCTTGCCAGGATGGTAATGGACTAAACCTCTACAACTGTAACGACGTCACCAGTTAAAATGGTTTCTCTTAAAGTAGCTGCCTTGGTCATGGTGTCTCTTAACAGTAACAGAACAGTGAATACGATACCATATGAGAGAAACATATTTTTGTCATTCTGAGATGACAATGAGTTTAATAGGAGTATCTTAAGCTGTATCCAATTTCTTGAAAATAACATAACTCATTCTTGTCTAGAACTGAAAAAGCTCTGCTGGCTCTACACACCACATTTTAGCTGTTCCTTTGTTGACAGACACATAGCTTGGTTCTATTACTGAGGTATTTTGAACAGTCCTACAATAATAAACACTGATGTGCAAATATCTATGTGCTGCATTGAGTTAGAGTCCTTCAGATAAATATACAGGGGCATAGAGGGGCATTTCTATTTTCAGGTTTTTGATTAACCTCATATTGATTTCATAGTGGCTGGATAAGTTTGTTCCTACCAACAGTGCATGAGGGGTTAGCTCCTGTCTACATCCCTCCCATCATTTGCTATTTGTTTTCTTTATGAATGCCACTATGACTGGGGTGAGATGGCATCTTAAGGTAGTGTTTATTTGTATTTCTTTAATGGCTAAGAATAATAGGTTTATTGGCCATTTGTAATTCAACCTTTGAGAGCCATTTCTTCTTTTCTTTAGCCCACTTATTAAATAGGTCATTTGATTTTTTAGACCTTTTAGTGTGCTCTGTATACTTCAAATGACACAATTTTTACTTTAGTGAAACATGCATGTGAAGAGGCAATATCCACTGCATGCAGAGTTGATGGTGTCTTAAAAGGAGAATCAAATACCAGTTTAATCAAGAGACCTCACAGCATAGAAACACATCACTTTTGGAGTCATGAAGATTTACGTGTGGATCTTTTCTTATAAACTCTACAACAATCAATAAAGTTCTTTTTTTTAAACAACTTTAGGAGGTATGTACTCTTTACAATGCCATTATTCACATGGACCAGAAGACATAGAAAAGCTGCCAGCATACCTAAGGAGCCACAGCCAGTATGAGGCGGAAACATAGCCATACAGATTTTCATAGCAGTATTAATGGGGCCAGCACCGATAAAAGCTTTGCTTCATCCTAGATTGTCAGTTACCTATTTGGTGTATCATTAGAGCTGAAAAATGCTAGTTTGGAAATGTTAACTCATGACATACACCGCTTATAAACATGTGATATAGGATGTCATACTTTTAAATTATTTAATTGATTCTTTGTACATATTATTATTTGTTCCTTGTTCAGTAGAATAAAAAGTATATCTTAAACTAACATTTTCCACTTAATTTTCTTTGCCAGCCATTTGCTCCAATTTTAGTTCTACTTTAAATCCAATGTCTGTTCATTATTTGCTGCTATATTTTGTGTTGGGTAGTTGTTCTAAGAAATGTAAAACCAACCTATGCCGAACATTATGAGATAATGAGTCATTTTGAAATATATCTGATAAAAATATGTTTGTGACAAAAATAATGAAAGACATAAGTGTATGTGTATTTCAAGTACCATAGGTGGCCAAGATAAATTCTAAAATAATTTAGAGCATTTATAGGTAAAATTTAAATGTAGGATGTTCTGAAGTAGGCACAACTGAGAACAAACAGCTCATGCTCCTAGCCTATGAGTTTCATTTTGCCTTAAAGAGCACACTTGGTCAAGAGTGTGTGCTGTGGATGTAGTTTCTATTTATGACAACCCGAAGATGCTGCTGAATTCAGCTTTAGGGATTGAATCTGGACATCAAGTCAAGTCACAAGACAGATACATCGTCTCCACCAACATTGAGAGCAGCCGGAAGAAGAGGACAAGAATCAAGCAAAATAAGTAGAAATAAGATCAAGGGAGACAGATAAGATGCAAACAGAAAACGTTCAAATAGCACTGGACAGAAAATGAGGTGGAAATATAAAGAAAGATAACACATTCTAAATGGAAAAGTCGCAGCCATTTCATAAGCACAGATAATACTTATGCCATTTATTGGATACATTAAAAAGTTCACTGACATGCATATACATCACCTTTCCTGAGGATAAAAACATTGGCTTCAGTGAATATTTTCATATTTCATTCACTTGCCACTCTCAATGTGCATTTTCCAAGCATCTGTGGTGCTTCGACGCTTAACATGACAAATGCACTTCAAAAAATAATGTTGAGACTTTCCTAGCTTTCGTTTGTTCCACTATATATTCATGTGAAGTCATCTTAAACAGAATGGGTTTTAGCCTTTTATTCTAAGAGATATCATTGCTAAAGGAATGCTGTTTCTTCTTTCCTCTTTAGATAGCCAAATGAGCATGAGGGACAAAATTGGCAGAATTTGGGACAGCAATGTAAGGACTCAGCACTTTAGAAAATGTATAAATATCACATTAAGTTGGTAAATGTGATATGGCTTCATGAATAAGTGGCAATTGAGTTTTATTTTTACTTCCTAATTGATAGCAGAAACATTTAGTATATATATAATAATCATTAATATAGCAAGCAAATTTATAGGAGAAATCAATTATATTATTAAGTGTACATCTTGTCCCTTCAGTAATGCTTTCATGTATCACAGAACCATAATAATTCACCCAGAGAAAATGCTGCCATTTCTGTTGAAAACCCATGCTTAATATTATGTAAAAATTAATCCATGATGAATTACTTCAAGTATAGATTCCAGAATAGCTTATTTAAATGGCATCAGAAAGGAGCACCTCACCCGCAAAAAGGAGTCGAGGGATCCATTCTCCATATACTCTACCACGATCATTACTGGTCGGCCTGCAAGAGAGCAAGGAACACGCATTATTAGGGCAATCACAGAGAGATGCGCTGCAGGCAGGGATTTCCAGCAGCAGGAACTAACTTCTTTGTGTTTTTAAAAAGTGAAGCTCACTCTTCAACCTCTTCTATGAAAGTATACTTATATCTACATCTCCATTTTTTTTTCTCTATACCATTATTTGTTTTTGAGTTCACAAAGGGCCACGGACTGCCATCTGAGTGACAAAGGAATTAAACATGTTTTACAAATGTCTAGCGATTGTTTGTAGAGATGTGTGTGTGTGTGTGTGTGTGTGTGTGTGTGTGTTGTCCTTTAGTTTTCCCACAAATGACAACCAGGACACTAAAGTCATCACTTAAGCAGCCACCACCTCTGTTTCTGCAGTTGTGGCACAGCTTTCATGATATTGCAGCACGTTTTCCTCCCTGAGAGTGGGTAGTTCTGAAATTACTAAATTATTTCTAAATCAAAGCAGAAAGGGGAAATTCATAAATCTTCGTTGACTACTTATAAAAGATCAGACACAGACTGCATTTAAGGGATTCCATGCAGAATAATTTTCAGTAGGTGGATGAATATCGCATACTGGGCAGGATCTGTACGCATGCCTGATCATCTCTTTATTGTGCACTGATTTGATCATCAGAGGGCCAATGGCAATGCATGAAAAACAGGTAACGCTGACTTGTCGTTTAGTGCAGAAGCAAAGATCAGAAGTTGAGCATCATTTATTTCTCCTTCTATCACACCAATTGCTACAGGTTCCCAATACATCTCTATTATGCAGAATATTTGACATAAATAACTTCGATTTGTTTCAAAGAAGAGAATGTATTTGCTCTCTCCAATTGTACAGGCTTAAAAGATAAAATTTCAATTGAGTAAAAAGATGATATTTACCTGAAATAGGAATCTATCAATGCTTATTTTTCTTTCTTTATTCTTGATGATTCAATCTGAATGGCACATAGCTATTTTTACGACACACACAAAAAACTGTCTCTGCCAATGCCAATGATGAAAATGGTGGACTTGTAATTCAAACCTTTTTTTCCTGATCTCAAAGCCTTGCAGGTTAGAAAGGGTAGCCGTAATAAATTGCTTCCATGTATGCAAATGCTAGATTTTACATTTGAATGTATATTTTAAAGAAAGATGAGCTAAAGGTTAAAAGGTGCAATAAAGCTCCCCATTTATCATGCATAGAATTCAAACCTAAGGAATTTTTCCATTTGGAGAGAATATTAACTTATGCTCTATAATGCTCCTAAAAGTTATTAATCTTACCCATATGAACAAAGAACTATATCGTCAATTCTAGAGGTGAGATGACCTGTCAGCACTCTCATACACAGGGGTCAAGAAGACCTGGTTTGCAGCCTGAATACTGGTCACTCTGTCTTTTATTGGCTCCTTGGCTTCAGAGAGCCAGGAGATAGCAATCTAAGACCAACACTTAGGTAGGAAAAGTAGAGAAAATCAAAAGCTATCTTTGTAACTCAACACCAAATTCTGAGCAAATATTCAAGTTAGAATGGTAGTGGATTTTGAGTGCTTAGGAGGAATGCTGTGTCACTGAATTATGTCCCCTCTGTATTTTTTATACCTCTGTAATATCTCCTGATCACTGACTGCTGTTAAAGTTTCTACTCCTCAATAATATGAGTTTTGTTAGAATTCAAGGGCTTGCAAACACTTCCTTGCATTGCTACACCCCTATTACACAGATAAAGAAACTGAGGGATAGAAACCACTTCCTTGCATTGCTACACCCCTATTACACAGATAAAGAAACTGAGGGATAGAAAAGTAAAGTATGTTTCTTGAGCCTGCTGGCAGTATTAGGCATTCCATTTAATGCTTTGGATCCTTGAACCTTTATAGTATAACTGCATTTTAGAAGAGATGAGTGGGTCATATCTATAAGTCTAGTCTAGCTAACTATTCTCTCCAGCAAAGGATGCTTTCCTAGTCAACCTTGCCACTTTGTTCTACCAGCTGTCATCATTTTCATTGTCCAATTCTGCCTCTGCCTTCCACTTTGCTATTCACCTGTCAGAGTTATTTCTCAGCTTGTTCCTCTTTGCAATACCTCCTCTTGTATTTAAACACTGTATATCCTTGCTAGCCTTCACGCTGACATTTTCAATAGATCCCAATCACTGTTGTTGTGTATGCTATGTCATGCTGTGCTTGGCCTTTGTCTTGCTTTGTCTTTTTTTTTTTTCCTGTAGGAATTTGTATTCTTATTCACTGGGTTTCTCGAGGTCACTTCCTACAGATAAGAGTGTAGTAGGTGCTTCATGAAATCACTTTCTGTTTTCTTACTGATTTCACTATCCTTATGAAATTAGCACTGAATCTTTTCAGCAAGATTCCCGTCTGTGTGAATTCAAAGCACTCTGGGCATAGTTCTATCTATAACCCATTTGTAGTTACTTCTGGCAGTCTTAAAATCCATCAGCGACAAGTTTCACTTCTTATCATTTAGAATGATAAGGAATTAGATGACGACTCCCCCAGTTTCTTGTAAGTTAAAAGTTTCTTTTGAGCTGGTTCTTTTGCAATTTATGCAAAACTCTCTGTTGAGAGTGACTGAACTAAAGAATTGTGGCTTTTTTCAGACTACTGTCAGAATTTAATCTCTAATTTATTTCCTAATGGTTCTCTATAGGAAATATGTAGTTATAATGTGAAGGTTAAAGACAAACTTGTAGTCCCTATTGCATTTGTGAAAAAAAAAATACATAGGAATAAGGGAACTTATAAAAATTCAGGTGCTATTCTTTATTTCCATTTTAGGTAAGTGAAGCTTTTTGGTACACATTCCTTTTTTTTTTTTTTGACTCGGTTTTTCAATATGCACAATTACATATGTAAATTATATATATTCTGAGAATGTGACTGCTCTTAGAGGATATACTTGAAAATAATCAATTCTTTCTTTCCAAATTTTCAAAAATATCTGAGCTCCTTTCCTTTAGTAAATTTTAGTCTGTTGCCCCAAATGCCTCCCACCACAGCATCATCTTAGTGATTGAACTGTGCTAAAAACAATGAGCATGCCCCAAGATGCTTTAACCTCAGTCATTTTTCAAGATCACCACTTAATTTAAAGAAAGTTCATTGGTTTGATGTTAAATCTCCCAAGCTATCCCATGTTATTGGTTTCAAGACTGCAAAATTATAAATAGCCAGACATTATTATGAATAGTCTTAACTATGTAAGAATCAAAATCTGAGAAATCACTTATTTATATTCTGAAGATAATCACAAAATTCCTTTATTATCCTTTTCTACTGTAAACAACAATAACTATTTTCTTTCAGCTGGAATTTTAGGAAGCATGTGTGTATATGTATAATATACATATGCCCATAAATATATGTATATGTTTTATTATTTATGTTCAAATACTCTCAACACCTGTAATGACTTCCATAAAGGAGGCTTGCAGAATCCATATGATCATAAGACTTTATTCTTCTCATGATGGTATTAGAAAAAAGAAAAACAAAGACATTCTTTGACTTTCTTATAAAAACCTCAGAGAAATACTTTGTTGGTGAAACAGGTTTTCTTCAGGGAAGGTTTGTGAAAGATGAGGATTACAGAGATTTGCCATTTTTATATAAGTAACGAGTCTGTGATGGATGTGGCGTTTTGAATCAGTTCAGCAATTTCTAATGTGCAACCAGTAAAATGAAGAATCGAAACAAATCTCAACAACCTCAGAACTCTATTACAGATTTAAATCATTCTAGCTTACTTAACATTCAATCATGCCTATATTTTGTCTTCCAGGTTGTAAACTTGCAGCAGTAACTCGGATTGACAAAATGTTAGTATTCTTTCTACCCACTTGCAATCACTGCTTCTAAAACCAGTTATTTCATCTGTTCTTCTCCACTGCCTGTTTTATAGATAGGGAATTGCAGATATAATCTCCTCTCGGTTTGATGACAAATGAAATAATTTTCTTATCCATGCAATACTTTCCACAGATATAGGTAATATAAATTTGAAAAGATATAATATATTAAATTATTGTTTTTATTCACATGGTAACTACCAAAATTGGGTAACCGTTTTACTTGTAAAGTGTTTCCTGGTATGGATCAGAACCTCTCCCAAACAAAACTCCTCCTCAATGACTTCGAATCTTACGATATTTCAATTTTATGAATTAAAATTTAAACTCATTTTTAACTTAATACTTTGATTTAACAGTAGTGCTTGAAAATTACACACCTATTGGGTACTATGTGAAGTTTCAACACACACATACATTGAGCAATATTTCGATAAGGATAATATCTGTCTCATTAAACCTTTTCTATTTTTTTATAGTGAAAACATTTAAAGTCATTTTCCAGAATCTGGAAACACGGAGTCCATCATATTGACTCTGCTGTCCAGTGGCCTCAGAACTTCTTGTTCCCATGTGATTTGCTATCCGCTGGTCACCCGATCACTGCTACTCATCCCAAACTCTGGTCATCACACCCCCTCAGCCTCTCTGAGATATACCAGTCCACATTGCCCAGTAGAGTGAAGGAAGGCAGTATCTATTCTGTTTAACACAGTGATCTCTAGGTCCAACTGTGTTTTTACAATTTGAAATACTTCCTTCAGTGAAGATTCTGTCAAGAATTGGGCAGGAAGCCATTCATGTTACAATTTAGCAGGGGGTCTTTGTATTCTGTCTGTGTCCTGAAAATTTTCATGAAGATGAATTCAAAAATAATGAACTGAGGTGTCCAGGGGAGAAAGTTTCAAGGTGGCATACTACAAGTGGTTACTGCCCACTGCTCTTAGACTTATAGCTGGATAGAGCAGAATGATGCCTAAAAACTTGCAGTTTGGTAAGTAAAGGGATCTGGGTTAACTTGAAAGTTGCAACAAAGACAAGTACAGACAACGCATTTGCGATTTGTAGTCATGAAAGAGATTAGAGCTATCACAGAGCACAGAATTCATATTGGGGCAATTAGG